TTTGTCAATATGTAGGCTCAACTTACACTGGTGACATAAACCAGAAGTGAATAACACATTAACATATTGGCTGTGAGAGAATAGCAAAACTCTTACAAGTCTGGGGCTAATTCTGGATTTATGAATAGTTGCCAATAACTCAGCAATACAAATACATAAAATGACTTAGTTCTGCCCATGAAAAAATAACGGCATCCTGATCTGAAACTGTAAATTAGACTGAAGATGAAGTAGCTGAACCTAAATGTAATGTAAAACTCTCCATCATGTACACCATGAAGACTTACAGTGCCTTTGGGTCAAAACCTGTAGCAGTTCAACATTGCACTTGTTTTTAAAGCCTGTTTGCGTAAGACTCAAAGATCTCTTACTTTGGCGACTTGTAGTAGCAGTAGCCTACTGTTACTGACAGCAACCCACCAAAGGAAACAGTCAAGGGAAAATGAACAGGCTAAAAGCGACAACACACACTATTCCCCATCAGGAATTTTTAAAAAGACAAAAACCATACCATTGGAATAATGTGAAACGTGCTATTCAAGGATAAATAAATCTACATGTAAGGGGTTTAAAGAGGCTTCTTATTTTTATCCTTTCAGTAAACATCCTTTTGTAATATGTGACAAATTACAGTATGCTACTATGCTTGCTTCTGGTCACTTGAACACTACATAAAAAGCAAAACTGCACAGTAAAGCACACTGAACTCCTGTATATTCTGCTAAAACACTGTCCTTTTCTCCATTAGTACCTGACTTGTGGTATCAATATATCATCTACTTATCATCTGCAGGAGGTGCTATACTGTAACTGACCCTGACCTTTGACCTTTTCCAAAAAGAGCACTGCCAAACCCTGGCATGTTTGAAAGAGATTTGTTTCCCCTCCAACTTTAAACCAACACCTAAATGAACAAAAGCTATGAGTGTCACTCTCGCTGTCTACACGTTTAATTCATCTTATAACTCATCTTTTTCATCATTAAAAGAGCAAAAAAGCAACTCACACAGTAGGCTATTTGTGGCATGTTATGGAAGTCTACTCAAAGTAAACAACAGTGCAGCTGTTTGGGTGTCCCAGATAACTAAGTAAAAAAAATATTATTAAATAATACAATTACAGTAATCAGTGTTATACAATACAATTAAATGCCACCGAGTACTCCTGGTCAGCATATGACTCATACACTTGCTTTGTTTTCACTCAAACACCAGTAAACAGCGTTAAGCAGGCAAAGCAAAGGTATACACCTTCAAAGCAACGCATACCTTTAAGAAATGTTGTTTAAATGACAAAACATATGAATAAAATCATGCAAATACCTCCAGAAAGGGTCTCCAGGGTCTCGGGTTAGGAGCTCACAGTCGACCGGCAGAAACACATGCGACCTTGTCTCACGGTTTGAATTCAATGGTTCCTTCAACCACGACGCGTCCGAGCACTTTCACTGACGTGCAATCAATGCAATGGTATTAACCCGCTCCCTGCCGGCTATGCAGGCAGCACACATGACGGTGTAGATCTAGTATGCCGGCGGCTATACGGCTAAAGCGGAACCACGCGCTCACAATATGGCAGGAAGTGAAATGTCATTCACCGAAAACGGACGAGGCATTTTTTCGCAAATCCCTTGCTTGAGACGGAGCACACGTGACTCAGGCGGGTTGTGGTTGATGTGCATCATGTCTTGAGCAGAACTACCTAGGAACATTTTCACAATATAGGCTTTAAACGTGTGTAAACCTGTAATAAAGTATATATTTTGGACAATGTATACTACATTGTATTTCAGAAAATATACCTTGTCTTAATGAGTGTGAACTCAAATAGGTCCTTTTCATCTGTAAATGAATGGTGCCTATACAATTTTTTAGGGTAATGATGCATTTCGTTGTGCAATGAATGCAAGTAAATATCAAATATGAGATTGTATCACAGACTGTATAAAATCTGTGGATAAAAAGATAAAATGAATATGTAGCTGTACCTCCATCTAGTGTCCTTAGGCTGCTGGTGGACAACCTGTAGATGGCACTTCCATGCACCAAGATGATGGGGCAGTGGATAAGACACACCTTTGGTGTGAGAGACCCATGTTCAATCCTCCAATGTGACACATCCTGCGTTGCTTTGGATAAAAGTGTCAGCTCAATGAATAAATGTAAAAGTACAGATGGATCTATGGAAACTATCTGCACCTCAACAGATTTACAGTGTGTACAGAAGTAAATAAGTACATTTACTCAAGCACTGTACTTCATTACACTTTGGAGAGCTACCTAGATTTTTTTTGCTAATTTATACTTCACAATCACTTTTTTACTACATTAATGTTACATCTGAAGTTACTGGTTTGTTTTCAGATTAAGACTAGATAAATTTGTAAAATGCGATGCATAAACCAGTGTTTCCCAACCTTTTTGGCTTGTGACCACTTTTACTTTTGATGCCATAAGTACATTTTGCCTGTAATACTTCTGTGCTTTTACTGAAGTAGGATTTTGGGGGGAGGATTGCAGTACTTTTATTTGTACAGTACAGATACAGTATTTTTACATTGGGGAATAGATATTTTCACTTTATCAAAAGATCTGAGTTCTGTACTTCTTCTACCACTGGTCTCATCGGTCATGGACTTTAAGAACCTCTATTATTCTACTTTATTTTCCATTAAATAGAAACTGTCAGTATTCATTTCCTCATGTTACTAGACCAATCATAATGGCATGAGATATAAGGATAAAAATTAACACCTAGGCTAATGAGTTGCATAAAGAAAGGATGGATCATTTTACAAGCAAGATTAATTGCCCTGCGTTACAAAACATTGTTTCTGTGTAATGTTGTTTGAGAAAGAAGGCTGCACATGTATGTATATTCTTTTTATGTTTATAAGCCCTGGCAGAAAAATCTTTTTAAATTTTTTAGATAATAAAGCACATTGTCTTTGTGTAATAAGTTTGACAGTTAAATGCTGTTTTTCTTTGATTATGTATTCAGTAATGCTGCCATCTGTGAAAAAATAAAGAAAGAATGTTTCAGATGTGTGCAGCAATCTGTGCAGCGTTTAACATTATTTCTGGTGTTTACGAGACTTAACACCCAACTATTCATAAGCATTGTGACCTTGTGAATGGTCAGAATGGTAATGTTGTTAATATAATGTTAATCTGTTTCTCGGAGATGGTGGTTTCTCTCACCATCTCCGGTTACATCACACTGAGATTACATGACAAACAATAGACTTTAGGCTTGGAAGCATGCGGAAACATTTGGTCACACAGACTATTTGGTCAATTGGTTTCCCCCATGCTCCCAAGCCTTCTTAAAGCCCATTGTTTGCAATGTAATCTAGGTGTGATACAAAAAGAAAATATTTTTTAATTTAATTTTTACTTTACTAACTTCATGTTTTGTCAGTGTGATTTACAGAACAAGATCACATTTCCTCATGCATACAAAACTTTGCCAGCTTCTTTGACTTGTAGAGCTTCATTTTAGCAATTGTATGGCGATATTTTGGAAATTCAGGTTCTCTTGACGGATCATTATACTCTCAAAGACACTTTAGAAAACTAAATGGTAGTCCATAAATGTTGAGACACACCTTCCCTATGGGTTCATCCTGTATGTGATGCTAATTAAGAAAAGTGTACTAATTCTGCATTGTCTCTGCTCTGTTTCCATTGCCCCAGTCATTTGCTGTCTGTGCCTATTTTCTGCATGTGTGTGTCCGTGTGCAAATGGTAAACCTGCGTGTGCTGTGCATGCAAGGACAGAGACATGCCCCTGCTGCAATCACTGATCCAAACAAGCCAAGTGAAGGGTCTGTCCCACTTCACAGGCCCTCCAATATGTGTAAATAGCTGTGTGGCCTACAGCCCACAATGGCAGGCCATCGGGCTGCTATTTTTAGAACAAGTTACTATTTTCTCTCAACCCTGTCACAAGGACAGCTGAGGCATATTCTGTGAGAGGAAAGAGGAAGATGCAGAAAAGGGTTTTAAAAGGGGGCAAGAATAGAATAGATCCTGATTCCACCACTCAGCCACCAGCTAAAAAAGCAGAAAACGTAACGACAATTAAGGTGCCCAGAAGCAAGTAGGCACTTTTTTTGGCTTTATTCCCGCCAAGAACTCTGACACAAAAATCTGGTACTTGTGGCTGTCGCAGGACTGTAAGAAGCATGACAAATCATTTCATTCGGACCTACCTGCCTGTCTACGTAGCTACCCAGCCACCAGCCACCTGACTACCTGTGTGCAAACTGCCTGTGCACTCACTGCACATGAAAATGTGTTTTGGGGGAGTGGGTTTAGTGGGAGAACTGGGGCGTGTGGGACTTTTTCAGTAGGATACTTCTGGAAAATCTAGCTTAGTCTACTACTACTACTAGCTACTCCTCAAATGTTGCCAAAACTAGCTTTAATTTAATTTAATTTAATTATATTTTATTTTATTTTTGTTGTTATAATAAAGTTGAAGTTGAAGCAGTTCATTTAAAAAGATCATTGAAATGCTTGCTGATGAAGTAAAACTAGAAATGTTCAGGTGCAGGCAGGTAATCTGAAGCCCTGGGGTTTGAAGCCCTGCTATTACAGTATAAAGTATGAAGTGTAACCTTATAGTACAAAACATAAAGCCTACAAACAAACATTAAGGATCAGTTCACTTTCAATCAACTGAGGAATTTTAATTTTATCTAAATCCCCTGAAAATGTTTCCCTGAAAAAGCTTCATGAACATGTACATATATACATTAACAACCACTAAATATTTCCTTTGCATTCTGAACTGACAAATAACAGAACACTTGAACATATCAACACTATGATCAACAGGTAATTTCCTCTGCCTGTATTTTTCTTCGAGCTGAGCATGGTCAACACAGGGACGGGCCACCTCAACCCATCCAGGCTGTCGCCCTGTTGGCCAATCACAGGCTGACACAGACAGACTGCAGCTGAAAAACAGAAGCACAGAGGCGGCTGAACATTTGGGAAAACCCACAACACACTTAGACCTAGACACACACACACACACACACACACACACACACACACAGACTCCATCATTTTGCTGTTGTTGAACCTCTTATGGTGTACCTGAGTAGATTTTTTTTTAATCTATAGCTTACTATAGCTACCTTCAATGAGGATTTGCCTTCAGTGAAGTTTTTATTCACCTAATTTTCCTAATTGTACCTAATTTTGTCATTCCTGATACACATTTTCTCTTTGCTGTGTGTCTTGCACACATCTGCCAACATGTGCCTTCTGACAGCTGCACTGTTGTTTTCTTTACTTGGTGAGTATGTGCAATCTATGACTTTTGCCTGAAGTGCCACGTGGACTTCATGAATGATTTATGTATCTGCCGTGTAATGTTTATGCCATTGTTTTTAAACCGTGTGCCATGGAGAACAGATGCAGTGTTTGGTCCAACAGATGGCCATTTAACTGATTTGTTTCTTTGCTCTGGTTGATGTCGTGTTTATTAGTTGCTCTTTTTCTCCGCTGGAAGGAAAACCTGCAGACTCTCCGTTATTCAGTGGCCAAAAAGGGACTTGGTTAAAACGGTTTATAATTTTATTTATAACCAACTGTGCAGTAGATACACAAGCAGCTCAGTTTTATTGATGGAAGCTTTGTAGGTTGTACCTCCCTCTATGAGTCCCAGTGTGTTGTGGAAAAACTAACGATATTACAATGGTTTACGTTTTTAAGGCTCTGCTCTTAAAAAATGGGAAATGATCTGTTGTACAACCTTCTGAAAGTCCTGCCTTAGGAGTCCTTCATTACATTATTGTACATATAGTACACAGCAGTCAATGCTTATGAATCACTTCTTTTGATATGAAAAGTTGACATAGTCTATGTACAAGTTTTATTACATTTACAACAAGCTTACCCTTCATGTGGATGAAGGTAAAGTTGTTTGCTTTTCAAAACACTGCAGACATACATTGTATTTTCTTGTTAATCTATTTAAATAGATTGTAAATGACAATCAAAATACAGCTAATGACAAGAATTTTAGACCAGGACTGTTAGTTACATTGTGAAAGAAGCTTTTTGGCTATTTTAACTATCACTTCAAATGTCATACAGGCTGAATAACATTAAAGAAATGAAAGTGGCCGCTATTAATAATGTTTAACTAAGAACAGAAACTAACCGGTGCACACACAACCTAATTTAAACAGTACTTTATCTATATGGACTAACTAACTGATTTAGTGCTTTTACAAAAACTACTAGAGTTGATCAAAGTTGGTAATTATGGGTTGTAGGAAACTGAACTTTATAGTTTAGTGATTATGTGTATGTGTCTCTAAATGGTGATGACCTGAACATGAATAATGCATAGGCATGTTCATCAGATCCGCATCATGTTCACATTTGCCTCATGCAAATTGGCATAATTTAAAAGTTAACTGATTTTCAAATTATCTACCTTTTATTGTGTGATATTTCTCACCCATTAGTGTGCTTCCACTAATGTGGCACCCAAGCATGCATAAACGAACCAGCAAAAAAATACATGTTGAAACAGGATATTAGTGGGCTCACTTTAGCAATGCACACTCTTAAACATCATCTTTATTGTTCTTCTGCTTCATCTTCAAAACATTTTTCTGAAAGGCTCTAATTTCCTTATACAGAAACCTCAAACATTAATGTCAAAACTTTTCCCAACTTTTTTTTGCCAGATTTAATGAATGGGTGGAAAGTTCAAACTCGTCTGCCCATCTTAGAACCTTTTCAGTTTGCTAAGCTCATTTCAGACATTCTTAGATTTTCACATTTCACAAACACTGAGAATGGACTTCTCAGTGAAATAAGAGACATGAATAATTTTTACTAGGAAGCAGTTATATCTTAAGACATGTCTTTATATATATATATATATATATATATATATATATATATATATAAAAATAATTAAGGCTGGAACACCCCAAAAAAGGCAAAAACAACAGTTCAGGGGGTTCTTTCTTACTTGTAATTGTAAATATTACAATATTTTCCCCCATATCCCTTGAAACACATTTTCAGAAACCCCTATAATGGAACCATTGTCTAACCTTGATGTCAGTCGAACATCTTATCTGCCTGCATCACTCGCAGCTGTTAACTGAGACACTGTTGGGTAATGTCAGTAGTTAGCTATCTAACTTCTTTATTACACTTTAACTTCCCTGTCAGTGTTAAGCAGGGGCATCCAATATCAGCATTATGTTTTTTGAGGTGGAGCAGTCCAGATTACTATCATCACCTCCACCTTGTCATTCTTTCAGATTCCATGTCCTGTGTTCAGTTTCTGGCAGCTCTGAACATGGGAGGAGTCACTGGACAGGTGCACTTTGACTCCACCTCCCAGATGGCCACTGTCAACGTATCTGGCACTGGATCCTGTGGTTCACTTAACTTTTCCTTCAGCGAGTTCCCCGTCATGTATGGTCATTATGCTCAGCCATGTTCTCAAGCAAATATTGGCCCCAGTGTCTTCACTTTCACAGCTGATCCAGCCTCAAACCCTATCGTCAACGTGTCACACCTCTTTGAACAAAGCTCAAACCTGGATGATTTCTCGTTGATTTTGCAGACATGTAATGGATCTAAAGTATGTGCGGTTGTTAGTCGCGGTCAAACGCTCTTGACTTTGCAGGCCAGGTTCGTCGACCCAATTGCAGGTAATGTTTACATTCGCCTTAACACTGGACAGACCAACGCCAGGCTGCTTGCAGACCTAGTTACAATCGGGAAAGTCGATGCCTCACAAACCAATATCACTCTCTTAGGATCTACAAGCAATGCCAATAGCTGTAACGTTCTTCTAGGAAGCTTAGATCCCACAACTTTGACCAATCTGGGTGTCGTAAACGTTGGAACTCCTTTCCAGCCTGAGAAATCCCGTCTGGACCTGACCAGCTTCAACATCAACAATGGCTTTCTTCTCATCCCAATGGGGTCAAGTTACAAGTGTGCTCAGATTTATAATGTGCCAGAGAAACAGGTGAGCGCTCTTGTGAATATGAGAGGGATAAAAGGGTACTTTAGTTTCAGTCAGGCTTCCCCGTTTGATGTGACAGAGTTGAGGGTGAACCTGACTAACTTACAGAGCAGAGTCGGCCCTTATCATGTCCACCTTTTTCCTGTCCCCTCAGTCAGGTCACCTCCATCAAGCCTGTGTTCAAATGATAATGTGGGTGGTCATTGGAATCCATTCAAAGTCAACACAAATGACTCAGCATATCCGAAAGTACCAGGTTCAACACACGACAGGTATGAGGTTGGTGACCTTAGCGCCAAGCATATGTCCCTTGCAGGTAAAAACGAAGTGGACATGGTGTTCACTGACTTCAGCCTCCCTCTGTTTGGACAGAACAGCATCATAGGTCGCTCAGTTGTGATTCACCAAACAGATGGTGCCAGGTATATTTGTGCCAGTATCAGCTATCCTGGTGAAGTGACTGTAGCCAGAGCCAGATTTCAGAGCCCTGTAGTTGGTGAGATCTGGTTCACCCAGATGAAGAACAACCCTCTTTCTGACATGTCCATCTTCATGGATTTGTCATATGGTAATCCCACAATGACACCAACTAAAAACCACAACTGGCATGTTCACATTCACCCCATCAGCTCAGAGAGGGATGATGATGAAAACCACTGCAGCACAACAGGAGGACACTGGAACCCCTTTAATATTAGCACAGGAGACAGCAGCTATGCCCTCCACTGTGGCCCGTCCAGGCCCTTTTCTTGCGAGGTGGGAGACCTCTCCAGCAAACACAGCACTATCAATCTCGACACCAGAGTGGGCCGAGTGGAAGCAAAAAACTTTTTCACTGATGTCACTTCCTGGTTGCCCACCTCAGGCATCACCGGTCGTTCCGTGGTCATTCATCAAGCAGAAAGAGGAGGGTCAAGGATTGCTTGTGGCAACGTCACAATGATTCGAGTCCCCAAAGCTAGCGTGGGTAGATGGTTTGGCCCCCAGATGTCCAGCGGCCAGGTACGGTTCTCCCAAGCTGTCCCACAAGGCCCCACATCTATAAACGTGTCCCTGATGAACCTGAACTCCTTAGCTGGGGGTTACCACGTTCACATACTGCCCATCAACCCTGGCAGCGTAGAGCCCTGCTCCAACACAAACATCCTGGGCCACTTCAACCCATTAGCCTGGAATGTATCAAACAGTCCTGCCCCTGGATCTGGAACAGTGGACCAGTATGAAATTGGGGACATCAGCGGGAAGTTTGGGATGCTGAATGGCCTCAACCAGTCTCAGGCTGTATACCTGGACCCTGATATGCCATTAATTGGACCCTACAGTATAGTGGGAAGGTCACTGGTGGTCCACTACTCCAACGGATCAAGGTGAGAGCCTGTGTGTGTTTATTGTGTTTGTGCTTATTACAGATAAAGAAACCAACAGAGGGTGATTGAGTGAGTGAAAGCGAAAAAGGAAATATGTGGACACGTTTCACAAACTATAGGTTGACCACAGTTTCCCATCACTAAAGAAGAACTAGTGAGCAATGTGACTGCTATACTCTACCCACTGACTCTTTTCTTGGAACATGAATGCTATGGTGTTTGTTGCAAAAAAAGAGACATATTTGTCATTTTATATGCATAATAAATGATACAGATTCAACATACTGTAAATGGCATAGATTCCAGTGGCTATAAAGTCTGAGTACCCACTGATGCCTCTGCAGCATGAGAACACAAGTTGTACCCCGAATGGCCCTCTGGCACAGACCTGACCAGTCTACTGAGGGCAAATACAGGCATTGGATGTCATAGACATCGAGTCATTGCCTTCTCATGTGTTGTATTATAACACACAGATAGCGTAATCTACTACATTCATTGAGAATGACTCAGCAAAACATTGTGAAGGAGAAAATTCTAAAGGTTAAACCTGCTGGATTTGAATACAATTTGCTCATCTTGTTTGTGCTTTTGTGTCTTTCTGTGCATTTGTGTTTCAGAATGAGGTGTGCTGACATCTCAGCTGACAGAGATACAGATGGACAATGGACTATTGCCAAAGCTGTTTTCAATGGCACAGTGACTGGGGAAATCAGACTGGTAAGAAACCAACAACAGCTAAAGTTTTTTTCCACAAGTCCCAACACATTATCCATTTACATAGTTTAAATTATTATTGGTTATTATTATTGTACTCTATTGTAGTTTTGCTAATCTAATCTAATGTTCAACACACATCATGTTCAGTCACCATTCTAGAGACTGAATGTTCACTATAACACACTAAAGCTGATGATACACGGGGCAACTTTTTGAGCAATGTTGCTGGGCAATCTTGTTAGTGGCAATTCCGACTATAGCGGCGGGGCGGGGCGGGTGGCGGAGTGGTGGGTGAAGGGGATTACGGTAGTATTCTTTACTCATTACCATTGACGGCAATTTTGCCCTGCACGATTGCTCTAAAAGTTGCTCTGTGTATCATTAGCTTTAGTCTTCAAGTTTTGTTACTTTTAATGATGTCACGGTAAGTGGTGTGGTGAAGCAGGTTGGAGGAGGTTGGAGGACCCAAATGCAGGACACGAAGGCTAGCAGGTGCAGTTCAGTGAAGGGTTTTAATTGAAACAAAAGGTGAGCACACTTACAACTGAGTGGCTGAGTCCAAAAACAAAGGGTGTCCGACAGAAATCCAAAATGAGCAGGGAAACAGGGAGACACGACGAGTGAGGCTGACTACACAAGAAACACACACTGCAACTCAGGGTGACAACATACAATGATCCGACAAGGACAAGACAGAAACACCAGGTAAATATACACAGGGACTAACGAGCAGGGCGGGAGCAACACAGGTGACGGACATGAGGCTAACGAGGGAGGCAGAGAGACAGCAGGAAAACAGAGATGCAAGCAGGCAGAGACAACAGGGCGTAACAGAGAGAACACTTAGACAAGCAGACATGGGTGAAAAACCAAGAATGCACAAGTACGGGCTAAACAGAACCAGTAAATGACCAAGGGAATACACAACACAAAACCGGGAACACAAGACCAGGAGTAAACAAACACAAAAGATATTAACTAATGTACAGGACTAGGAACTAACTGAACAAGAATACACAGAACCTAAAACAGACTTAAACAGGAAAGACATGAACACAAAAACCAGACTCCTAACAAATGAAGTGCAAAACAAAACAATCATTAATCCATTATACATTCCTATGTTGCAAGAGATTTTTATTTTTGAGTTTAGGCTATCCGATCAGACTAATGATATCTTTATACAACTTTTTCACATATGCAGTAATATGTATATATTTTAGCCTCACCAGAACATGCTCTGGCAGGTGAATACTCTCTGTTGCCTTCTGGGCGTTGTCATGCACTACCTGTATGCAAGACGAACCGCTACTCCAAATCTTTATTCCTTCAGCGATCAGACTTTTAAACTCCCTGTTGGGTTATTTAGGGTTTCAAATGTGCACATACTGGCTGCTTGTATGTTGTTAATGTTTTGTGTGTTTTGTGTTATGTACTGTTGTATACTGTTGCAAACATGCTGCTCTTAACTAATTGCCCCTAGTATGATAAATAAAGTTAATTGGATTGACAGTAAGAAAAACAATGGCTATTTCCACACCAACTTTCAAGATTGCTCACACTGACAATTATAGTAATCTTCCCCCAGCTGCACAATTTGAATTGCTCAAGGTCAGGTTGCAATACTTTGCCACATTGCAAAAGGTCAAAGCATATTTTATAGAAGTGAGAAAAAAAAAACATTTGTGTCTCTGCTTACAAGGCTTGGTTTCATTTGCTTTTTCGGTGAGTTTGTGGACATGTGGTAAGTGTTCCATTCCATTCAGTCATGTAAAATATCACCCTTCATAATTACGAAGAGAAATTCTGCCTTTGTCTGTAACTTGACAACAATACATTTTGACATTGACACTGAATGAACAAATTTGTTTCCTCAATCCAAACTGGCAGACATTGTTCTATAAAGGATCATGCAATTAATTCTAGTGACAGTCACCGAGCTCAGCCTGTCACCAGAAAGAATTTACGAGATTTCCACATAACAGTGGCAAATTTTAAGAATCAGGTTTTCTTTGATTGCCACAGAACACATGCAAGGTTTTCTGGCTAACTTACTAAGAGCCAAGCTGCCACAAAAACATGACAGCACGTTTCTGCTGCGCTGGACAGAGTGAATTCATTAAGCTTGTGGTGGGTTGCATCAAGCGGCTATGGGAAGCAGGGACGAGATCATTACCTTAGCTTAACATCCGTCCACTATGGCTAGTGGAACCTACAGGCCCCCTGAACTAGGAAGCTCACCAAGGGAACAGCTGTCTCTGTCAGCCGCTTTGCAGAGGCCCCATACTGAGCTCTGCACTACATCTATGGATAAGAGCTTGAAATATCTCCAAAGAGGTTATATGAATTATCAAGAAGAAAATCTAGGGGAAGTCTGGGGAACTTAAATCTGCTGGTTTTGCTCAGGCGGATTGAACAGAGTCACAGAGTGAGTGTGAGAATACCTTAATAAGTAGTTACACTGTAATTGTATGCAATATCCACAAATCAGTACATTTTAACTGCTGTATTTCTGCAAAGTAAGTAAGTAACTATTTTCTATAAGTATGATGAATATGCATGTTTAATTCTTTCTACTGTAACTGTCCACTAATATTGGATTTTTTTCTCTCCTCAGCGCCAGCAGATGTTTCCTGATGGGAGTAGCAGTGAAATCACGCTGGAGGTGAACCTTCAATCAACAACAATTCAAAATGTAAGTACACAGTCATTTGCTGTAGTACACGTATCCACAAATGCATTTTTCACAGTTAAAAAAGAGGAACAAAAGTCCACGTCAGGTATCAGTTATTAACAATCAGCTATAATATTGAATGCATTTCCATGTAGCACCAACAGCCTTAAACCCTTTGAGCACACAAAGAAAAACTTGGAAAGCAAACCTTCAAAGAAAAGTTCCGTGACAGGTGGATTCAATGGCTACCAAGTAGAATATTAAAATGGAAATGTACTTGAAAGATGATCAGGAAACAAGAGATGCCAGCACGTAGTGCCTGAGAAGGAAGAAACACTCATAACACAAACACAGATCCACATTGAGTTGGTTTATAGACATCAAGATTGCATTATTATGCAGATATACTCAGAAGTGGCAAGGAGTGAAATGCAGATAAATGGGGAACGTGGCAAGAAACGTTTTTGCTGCCTTTTGATGTTTTCTTGAAACTCAGGACAATGTCTGTAATGAGATCCATGTAATCTGAGGGCATTACTACATAAACATACAGAATTCACATAAAGACACAGAAAAATAAGACACACACACACAGTTGAGCTTGTATTTCACCCCTCCAGGCATCCTTGTTCATCAAAAACAACCGTGTTGGCACCAACAACAGGCAGTGCGACGGTGTGGGAGGCACATTCAATCCCTTCAACATGACATCAGTGGTGAGACCAGGCTGTCCTGTCTTTAACTTCTGCACTTCTTCTCTTCCTGCTTTCGAAAGTTGATTGTTTTGTAGGCTAACACTAGTACTTAAGTATTGAAGGCGCTTAATGTAGGATGCCTAAAGATGCTATAAGGACATTTGTACTTGCCCCATTCAAGCATTCAGTTGCAAGTCCTTTGAATTTTTTTAATTGAATTTGAATTGAAATCTTTATTTCAAACATGCAAGAGAAAGTATAAAAAACTAAAACAATGTTTAAAAAAATAGGAGAAAAAAACAACAACAGATGAGCAGCAAAAGTACCTATCTAAAAATCTATCTATCACATGTGCGAAAGGAGTAGGAAGAAGTAAAACTTATGTACTCCTACCCCTTTTATTCTTACATTCCTTCAATTAACAATTTTTATTTTTATTATTATTATGTTTTATATACATTTATATATATATATATAATATATACACATTTTATGTACACAATATTAGAGTGACCACTGACAAGTACTTATTTATCTAACCTTGATAATGTACTTTCAAACAGCAACATGTACAGTATGTACAATGGAACAAACTTTCAAGCAGTGCAGAAAAGGAAGTCTATTACAAAACCAACATGACCAAATAAAATGTCAGATAACGTGCATAAATGGTAAATGTATTTTTTGCACCGCCTTCTTTCTGTTTCCCCTCCAGAGCTCTAGCTGTTCACTAGAAAGCCCTCTGAGCTGTGTGGTGGGAGAGGTATCCGCAAGACATGGCACACTCAGCCTGACTGTGAGACAGCTCTACACTGACAGCCTCATCCAGCTCTCTGGAGACAACACAGGTATCACACAGACACAAAAGTCCCCCCCCCCCCCCAATAAATAAATGGAAAAGAAGAAATGTAATTATTGTTTTTTCAAATTTCTATTTTTGTAGTGGTCCACAGATCTCTAGTGCTGAAGAAAGGGGACAGCATCATCGCATGTGCCGACATCCTCCCAGAATCCCCTTCAGCAGAGCAAACCTTTCCCAAAATGACTAACTTCAGCAGGTGAGTGCAATAAAAACATATCATACTCTGTGATTAATACACTGTCATCAGAATTTTATCTGAAATCTCTTGGCACACTTTAAATTTTGCCCTGAGCGGAAACTGATGGGACCATTTACTGACAGCTAGGAAGCGTCAGGTTTTTTGTGTGAAAACACAGCAATTGATGATGTGCATTGCATTTCTCAGCCTGGCTAGTTGTCAAATGATACATTTTGATATTGTAAGTGAAAGTGCATCAGTATTTACTATCAAAAACATTTTGAAACATCAACAATGCAGGCTCATGCGATCAACATGATGCAGCCACATACAGGGATTGTTCTGCTTTCAGAGAAGCTGATCAAATGCATGGTTCCCAAATACCCCTTTGCTATGTAACTGGATTCCAGCTACTTTGTGGCCTGAGTTAGCAACTATAAATCGATGATCCATTCAGCAAACTATCCATATAAACTCATAGTGACTTGACCATTTCTTAATGTTTAGCAACAGGAATTTGTAATCGGTCCGCCAATAATAACTTCAGTAATGCATTCAATGATTATGGCTCATACAATAGTTATGTTATGTATATTTGTGTATGTATATTTTATATAAGCATGTGCTTTGAACCCTTATTAAGTTTTACCAAGAAGTCATTACAGTCAGGGAAGCGCATCAAACTTTAGTTCAATCATTTCTGGATTTGATTGCCTAGCTAATTATTATATTATGTGACTTCAAAGTTAATATGTCATTTCTTTTTGCCCAGATATGACTTCCGTAGGAGGGTTGCAGATGTCCTGCAGTTGGAAACAGCAAGAGTCAGCATCCTGCCCAGCTCTCCCCGCTCTGCAGCTAATGGAATCTGCCAACAAGTCAGCTTCATGGTATCTGGTAAGGGACACCAGTTACAAAGGCTCTCAGAAAAAAGGATGCTTCCCTATCAACTCAATAGTGTGCCTATTTTGCAATTAAAGGGAAATTGTATGACATTTTTTAACACAATGATTCATAAGTAAAGACAATCCGCGGAAGTAACTGAGTGAACATTCATTCCTCTTCCTCTATTTGGAATGGAGATGGAGATGGATTGGAAATTATACACTAATTTAATGATAAAACCATTAACCATGTGATTAAAATTCCGACAGACACCACCAGTCATAGCATGGTGGCACACAGGTTTGAGCGTACGCTCTTCAAAAATTTAAGTAGCTTACATTCACTTTTGTTAAGTGCTGTGGCCTTGAAAGTATGCGTTGACTCATCTCACCTCTCTAGGGAAGCCCCTGTAGTAGTATCATATTGTATCACAGTTATTAACACTGAATGTTGCATCTCCACGGGTCACTGAATGTAAAACCTCACTGGAATATCAAAAAGGACATGGTATTGCCAAAGAGAAAAAGGCAAACAAACATCATTCTCATTTGAATATTTTTCCATAAAGACCAAAAGATGATTTCCACATGGATAAAGAATGAACAAAGTAGCATAAAAGCTGATTTAGCAGAGGAAGTGTCGCATACAGCATACTGTCTACATTATGTATTCACAAACACACAGAGGCTGTTGTGTGTGATATAATCTCAATCTATTGGACTATACAGCATGTAAGTCTGTAAAGAGTTCAGCTACTTCAGGCTTTAGGAACCTATCTGCGCAAGCTGTGTTCCCAGGCTGTGTTCATCAGGACAATGAACAATTATGGGCATGGAATAAATCTTTAGAAAACCTGAAATATGGCTCCGTAACCTGATGCTGGAGTTGAGTGTCTGTGTGTTTCATTTTCTGTCCCTTCCTTTGTCCCAGGGGGGAACAGAGAAGTGCCTGTACAGAGGTTTCACACAGTATAGCACAGGACAGGCCCCCACAAGGTGGAGTTTACTAATGCAGTCATTACTGAGAAGGCTTCCTTTTTCGTGATTATGAGTATAACAGCATGCCGCTGAGAGTGTAATGAAAATAATGTTTTCTGTGCTTGGGAGAACAGAAATCATTATGAATTAATGTGCCTGGAATGGAATCACACCTACTCGACAGCCAATTGAATGTAAAAATAAACTTGTTATGTAATCAATCAATCAATCAAGTTGTTATTTCTGAAACGTTTTGAAATTCACCACAGCATTTCTACTATATCGCATGACTTAATGTTATAAGTCCACAACTGCATTTAGACTCAGCAACAGTAATTACCAAGGATAACACAACAGTAATTGTGGCTGGGACCGTCTATGTGTGATTAAGCATTGCCACATTGTCTGTCTTAAAGGGGATGTCAGCACAGATCTTCTGAAGTCTGTCAAAACCAGCATGAAAATGGGCATGTTCAGAGAGTCTGTCTCATGTACAAGTAAGTACGCCCCATAATGGTGCATAATGGGAATGTGAAACTGTATGGGAGAACAACATTTAGAAGTCCGGTCTTAAAAAGTTTGATTTGACTTCATTTATTAAAATTTAATCTTTATTTAACCAGGAAGTCCCTTGAGATTGAAATCTCTTTTCCGAGGGAGACCTGGCCAAGACGGCCCACCAGTTACAATTTAAATAGAAATACAGAATAGTCAAAACAAACAACAAGCATCACACACAAAGGAATGGACTAAGCCAGGTCACAAGTGGCAGTTACTAGCTCTCTGAAATAAACCAAAATAAATAAACAAATTAACCTTTTGTTAAATAAACCAATAAATAAATATTGAATGGATTTTGTTGGAGAGCGACTGGGCCTTGAATAAACTGTGGCCACCTTTCTGATCTGATGCCCTCAGGAAGTGCAGGTATGCTGCTGGTTCCAGGAAGTCTGCTTCTTGGCTTGATGTTTGCTGCTGCCTGCCTGCTGCCATCTACAATTTATTCATAGCTCAGAGATTCAGCCACATCAGTTGATCATCATATCGTAAAACTGTGGAAATGTTTATGAAACGTAGCCCACCAAGTGATGATAGTCATCTGATTAATTGTCAAGCAAATAACAATTTTCCTTTATTTTACAGCTTTTGTCAACCAATAAAGATCTTGCCATTTTACATTTTGCTTTTTGTAATAATCATTTCAGGCAACAAGCTATTCAACTGTTTAGTTTAGCCTTTATAGAAATGTAATTCTTCTGCAGCATACATATTATATTTTATTCAACTGTACTGTGAAATGGGTGGATGAAGTTAATGCTGTACATTTTCAGATATCCAGACTTACTGTATGTAAATATCTGGGAAACTGTGAATAAAATACAATAATGTTTGTATGCTTTGTGCCAATAATCTTGTATTTTTCCCCCTTGTTTTGAACCCCTGAACAGCACATGAACAAATGTATATAGTGCTTTATCAGGACAGTAATCCATTGATTAATATTAAGGGAATAAATGTTTTGTATGCTTCCTAATAAGGAATCATTAAAACGGGTTTGTGAGTCATGCTAAGGACTTTATTAATGGTTCATAAATAATTAACTATTGCTTTATCTAGCTTAGTTAGACCATTAATAAGAACATTTTTGATGTTGCCAGGTTGTGAACAATAAAATATAAGTTAATTTTATCAACTGACTTGGTATTTCTTTTACACACCTTTTATATCAACGATAACTACCTATCTAACTGTATTATTTATTGAAGTAATCATGTGTAACCATCAGCCTAATAATTTTGATTTGCCTGATAGCTTTTCCCATCTCCCTATCCTTTCCACTTGTGTTAGGCTGCTGTACTCAAGTACAGTGGTGTGATTTTAGACTCACTGTGTAGTTCCAGTACATGGAATATGACTGTAGCGATATTTAGATGATGTAGGCTAATGTATTCTTCAGTGTATGGATTATGAGCCGAAAAAGAGGCGAGTCTGGATCCCTCTGCGTCTACTGGAAGAAACTGCAATCACGTGACGGCGAACGTCAACAACGAAATGGCAGCCTCCTGTTTTGGAAATTAACACAAGGTCCCAGGCTGGTAAAGAGCGCTTCGCGTTAAAGAATCACGTTTCCACGACGAAACCACACGGTGTGTATTCAGTATTTCAATGACTGCATGTGGGGGAAGTTTAACGTCAGCTAGCGGCGGGGTGGGGAGCTAACGTGGCACAGCACAGCGCGACCAGAGGGCTGTTGACTGTTTTAAAAAAAACGGGGGAAATGGGTGGTCATCCCGCGCCGTGTCTGTAGCGTAATGTCCGTAATCAAAGCTGAGTGAAAATCTTGATTAGTACTTAGTGTAAAATTGGGAAAATTAGCAAGTTACTACATCCTACAGTGCTACCACACCCACTATTAAAATCCATGGCGCTGCACACTGAATGAATTAACTTATTGTGTGTCACGGGTGGCCTGTTGATGAACAGCGATGTGTGAATAAAAATAAATCGCCTGTCCACTTCAGCCCAAGCTCTGCGTTTTGTAGCTTATTATCAAAATATCACGAGCAACTGTTTAATTGTATTGTTGCTAGTTCGCTCGCAAGTAGGTTGCCAACTTGTAAACAACAATTGCGTGGGGAACGTTTAGCCAATAGGAGAAGTCATCGATGTAGAACACTGCGACGTGATTGGTCGGCTCTTAGAAGTGTATTTTTATTATTTGCACCGCGCTAAACCATCCTGTAGTGGACGTGGATAGTGAAAGAGAATTCACCACTGCACAGTAACCTCTGGCTGCTGTTTTAGGAGATTATCGCAGTGAATTTAGGTCACAGACCTGCAGACACCAGCCACTTAGTCTAGTTCTTTTAATATTTAACTCATGTGACAGTTGCTTAATCAGCATGTTGCAGCAGGTTAAGATCCAGGTGTGGACTGTGACTTTGAGCTCCACGTCAATAGTCAGGTAGGCCACAGTCAGTCACTATCCAGCTCCAGTCGCATGAAATCAACATGGCTTCCAAAAATTCAGGTAATCTATGGGTGATCAGTTTGGGTTTGACTAACAAGACATGGGTGACATCTCAGTGCTTGCTTTTAAATGGGTCCTAATTTGAAATGAGTGATTTTGAAGATTGAACTGATTATTTTCACTGCATAAATGCCAAGGACTGACTGTGTCTGCGCTTGGTAAATCCCAGCCGCTTTTATGTTAACTTTTGACATTTGCCTCGTCGTACATATATTAAGGGCACTTTAACTCTGTTTTGAAGAAGCGTAGTATCAATAAATGTTACTTCAATTTTGTGTCTTTAATTACTGTGTTATGTTCTGTCTCAGACACAGGCATGGCTCCAAAGATCACAGGAGAGCTGCTCAGGCAGCTTCGCCAGGCCATGAGGAATTGTAAATACTTCTCTGAGCCCATTCAGGCTTACATTGTCCCTTCTGGAGATGCACACCAGGTAAGTGAGGTTAAACACGCATGTACACATGTTACAAGACTAAAGTCAATCCTAAACATAAATTAAGACACACATGCAGAAGTTTACAGTAGTGCAGCACTGCAGCTGCTACTCCTGCCTATTTTACTTTATGTGTTCTGATTCACTTCTGATCATCTCATCTGGCCTTCGCAATTAATTGTGGATCTTAACCCATTGCTCCTCCCTTTCCCTCTCAATGCACAAGGCCTGATGTGTGAAGAGCAGCAAAGATGGCATTTAAACTGTCTAACTGGTTGAAGGCCACTTCACACTCATTGTTAATGAAGCTGATCTCTCTCTCTGTCTTCTCTCTTTCTGTATGTCTTCAGAGCGAATACATTGCACCGTGTGACTGCAGACGTGAATTTATCTGTGGATTTAATGGCTCTGCAGGTATGTTTTGCCTTTGTGGGAGTGGCAATGAACATGCAGGTATTTTTTTTTTTAATTAAAAGGTCATCCCGAGTTAAAATTTTTATGGCAAACTAGAAGCCATGATCTAATTTCCACTGTGGATAAACCTATGACCTAGAACAATGTGATACAGGGACATCCAGCTTTTATTCTGTAAACCACCCAGATGCATCTCATGTTCAATTTAGGTATTACAGTATGATGTTGCTGTAGGTGTACTTTTCAGGTGAGGTGACTCACTTTTGTAATAAATCACTGTGAACCTGCCCTTCACTTTCACATTAGAACAATGAAAGATGAGAGCTCAGTCACTCTCAGACTGTTCACTGTTGCTATATCAGAGGCATAGATTATGAGAAAGTATAGCCATGGTAAACAGGACTTTTGTACAAATACTGTATACAGCTTTGGATCCAGTCATAGACAAGTGTATCATTGTTCCAGTATCAATTGCACTAAGTACTTATTGTATTTCATATTCATCCATTGTACTGGCTCCAACAAAGCATCTGTGATTTGAAATGTCATATCTGCTTTTTCTGTTTGATGCGCAGGTACAGCCATCATCACAGAGCAGCATGCTGCAATGTGGACTGATGGCCGATATTTCCTGCAAGCCACTCAGCAGATGGACAACAACTGGACCCTTATGAAGATGGGTAATATCGGTGTTTCTGTTGTACATTACAAAAAATACTAAATGCATCTTAGGAAAGTTATGTGAGCTATAAACACAAATACTGATTGTTGAGATTCAGGTTTGTTTAAGAGTCAGTTTGTTTCTGGGTATGTACACATATTTCTGAAGTTTAAGGTTTACACTAAGGATTCTGCAATGAGGTCTTACTCTTTATATACAAACCAATCATCACCACCATGATAAACCACCAATCACAGCTAGTCAGAATGCTGTGACCTAATTTGTCCTATTAATGTCTGCAATTTTTAAGACAAATATACTTTGAAGATGCTGTTTGACTGTGGCATATTTTACATCTTTGCGTGATCAGTGTTTTTATAACTTTATCTAGGACTGAAGGAGACACCCTCTCAGGAGGACTGGCTGATCAGCGTCCTGCCAGAGAACTCCAAAGTAGGAGTAGATCCTTGGATCATCGCTGCTGGTAGGTTGCTCAGTGGATCAACATTACTAGGAGGGCAGAACACACAATGACAATCAGAGCAATATGAACACTGTTCTCTTCCCAGAATACAGCAAGAAATATTCTCCAGAAAAAAAAGATTTTACATTTTGGAGGTTTAAATTTAATACATTTTTAAAAAATGACGTACAGAGTGCACTTAGTTTTGCCTTGTTAATGAAATATTGTGTTTTTTGCCACTATTTGTGCATCTTATCACAATCTTCTGATGTTTTAGATCAGTGGAAGAACATATCCAAGGCACTGACCAGTGCAGGCCACTCTCTGGTGGCAGTGCAGGATAACCTGATCGATGCGGTCTGGATAGACCGCCCAGAAAGACCCAGCACACAGCTCCGCACCATGGGATTGGAGTACACCGGTCTGTGCCAAACTGGATTAACTCCATTATTATATACATGGTTATTTCACAGTAGCTAATTAGGGTTTGTTTCAGAAATATTAAAATTATGAAATATAATATATTCTTGTGGAATGAATAAATTATTTTAATGTGAGCAGAAATATTGCTCTTAGTTTTGATTATTATACTTTTGATATTACTTTTCTTATCTTTTGTTTCAAAGCTAGACAAAATAAAGGGTCAGTGTTAACTAGTAGATATACAGGCTTTGAGGTGCCATGTTGACGAGCATTGCTGTCCTCCTATAGGTATGTCCTGGCAAGACAAGATCACAGCGCTGCGAGCGAAGATGATCGAGAGGAAAACGACCTGGTTTGTTGCCACGGCGTTGGATGAGATTGCATGTACGGTTCATTTTTCAGAAATCTTCTGCCACAGTGGTAACTGAACACAGTAATGGAGGTGTCGAGATGCTTTACTTAAACCAGCAATGTATAGAATTACAGTAGCACAAAGTGGAGATATTTAAGTAAAGTTAATTTACCAGGAACTTCAGAATTGTACTTAAAATAAATAAATAAATAAATAAAAATCATTAGATTTACATAGCGCTTTTTTAAAACTCAAAGACGCTTTAAAATAATTATTAAAGATTAAAGTAATTGGTTAAATAAAAGAAGAGAAGGGGAGAGAGGGGAAGGAAGTTAACTGGGTAATGCAGTCTTGAAAAGGTGGGTTTTGAAGGATGGAATGGAGTTAGCCTGTCTGATGTGGCTAGTGAGGGCATTTCAGAGGGAGGGTGCAGCAACTGAAAAGGCCTTGTCACCCCAGGTCTGGTGCTTTGTCCTGATGTTTTTTTGTGTTGAGGTGATGTGTGGAGGTGTGGCGAGGGAGGAGGTCGGTGAGGTACGGAGGGGTCGGGTTGTTTAAGGCTTTGTAAGTGATGAGTAGAAGTTAAAGTAAAGTGGTTCCTGTAATTAACCGGGAGCCAGTGGAGTGGACTTATGTGCAGGACTTGAGTAAATAATCGTAGTTACTTCCCAATTAATTGCACAAATGGGTTTTCCTAAATTCACTCTCCGCAACCTCGCATTCATTGTTCATGTAACTGGACAGCAAACATTGTGTTTTGGCCTGGACATTTTGTAACCATATAATGTGTGAAGTGTGAAACATGTTAGTGGATTTAGAAGTACGGCCAGACAGAGAGCCTCTTTTGTTGATGATTAGATTTTGTCACATTAGGTTTTAGTGGATTTTAGTTATTGCTGTGTCAAACATGCA